AAACTGTCTATGCGGTTAAAATATTCACAATACAAAAACGATGCTTACGCATAATCTATAGTAAACCCAGTGACTATTCTCTAAGAAGTATGTACAAAGGAAAGGGTTTCCTGACTTTAACAGGATATATTTTGGAAATATGTCTTTTTGTACGTAATCACAGTAACTTCTTTACTGAAATATCTAATGTACACTCCGTTAACGAAAACCGCTATTGAATATAGCGGTTTTCTTGTAAAATTTCGAGGTAAGATTGTGTATTTTTTCTATTGTGAAATTATTTACGAATCGTGTTTTCACACCGCATAGTAATCTTCAATTTTACTATATATTTTTTCTAAAAAGGTTGATTCAACACTGTCACTGTGTTGTGCGGAATGAACCATGAATCTTAGAATAATAACGCATAGAAACCTAGTCCGCACACGCTAAGTGAGGCAAATTGAAGCGCGTCAAAAGGGCCTACACGAGCGGGCGGGCCTTCAGTGCTCAAGGTCAACTTGCACCGCGAACAGATCAAGAATTTTAGCTAAAAATTACGAAATGTGTGGTAAATGAGTGTAAAAATACGTCAGACAAACATAAAATGGATACTAACATCACATTCCACAAGGAAGTAACGCGTTTCAACTTGTATTTTTATATAAATATTCACTAAAACCGAAAATTAACCTACTACTAAAACTAGCCTACATGAATTTGGTTTTTGCCTCACTTGTGACAGTTCGTTTGATATGAAACTATCATTCTATGCGTTATTATTCTAAATCATGAACGAACCAAAGCCATTTGAGGTTGTATTGACTCTTATGACATATTTAGAGTTTTCCAAAATGTTTTATTTCGCCATTAATGCAAGTGATTATCACTTATCTAAATTCCGCAGTTTTTTAAGTTAATGTTCTTGTGTAAATTATGAATCTTGTAACGCACAGTAAGCAGTTAAAATGTCACCATATCGGAGCATACCTTTCGAACTTTCAATTGGAACGTGGGAACCAGAATTGTGCGAATCTACCATGTGAAGTGATGGTTCAGTGAGAGAACGACTACATTGCTATTGTAGGGTTCTAGTGTCGATTACTGTTAAAAGTTTTAACGAATATATACGTAGACTAGATGAATAATCGTTGCTAATTAATCATTATTTAATGGTGGATAAAAATATCGTTCAGAAAAAAAAGTGGTAAATCTCAAATTTACTAAGTCCTTATCTTTATCTACTGTCCTATCAGAACATTGTACACTAATCATAAGTCTACTCGTGTTGCAACGAACAGCATATTCGGCCTCAGGAGCGTGGCATTGGCGTGGAATAGTCGCATATTCGGCCAAACTATTCGACTTGTTTAAACGCACGAAAATTGGCATGCAAAATACCATTTATTAAATACATAATATTTAATAGTGAAACAGAAAAGGTAATGAAACTTTCAAATTTCTACTTTTAATGTATAAAATCTTAATAATGGATATAATTGTTTATTTCACTTCAGTTTTATTACTTTAATTTTCGAAAACTTATTTTATTTTGGTTTGCAAATAATAGGTAGGATGATCTGTTATTTTTGGTAAACATATTTAAATACATTTTTACTAAATATTCGTATACAAAGCACACGCGTAAATTTAAGTTTTCCAGATTTGGTAAGTTCCCTTTGAAAACTGAGGGTCATACATGCTGTAGCTTTTTATTTATTTCTTTACAAAACTCAGGACGAAAACACTTAGTTGCCGCTTCTACGCTTCAGAACGAGGACGAAGGTGGTCTATTTTTTTATCCCACCAAAGATGCTATCCAAATATGCTGAGTAGCAGAGTTAGAGATCCGAGAAATCATGATCAAATCAAAACTTTACACGAAGCCGACATTAACCCATATATGCCCAAAGGGTCATTAATGACCCACTTATTCTCGGATGACCAAATCGTTGTTTGTACTAAAATTAAGGTAGTTAGCGACATTTGACATCACGTAGAAGATACGTTATAAACATACCTTAGTTTTTGTCTACCGCCGCGTGAATTATTTTTCTGCGGTAAGTTATTTTGATGACTTTAAAAGTTGCTAAATTCTGATTGTGACTGCCGGTTCCAGAATTAGAAATGTAAGTATTTATTATTTGTTTATGCTAAGGTCTTAATATTTTGGCAGATTCCCATCGATTCATAATTGTATTATGTATTTAAATTATTTGAATCCTATAAATCACTATTTTTTTCCTTATTTTCTGCATAACTGAAATGGGTCGTTAACGACCTTTTGAGCAAATGTCTGACCTATTGATATTTTATTGCAGGAGTAGACGTGCGCCTACTACCTTCGAAATTCTGGAGGAACTAAACAGATTTGCTGACGAGGATAACGTAGGTCATCTGGATATTTATGTTGACCCACCAAATGATGGCCAAAATTCTTATTGTAACTCAGGAGCCGAAGACTGTAATGATCCAGATCGACTGAATCGAGCTCAACTTCAGGCACCCGCAAAGTTAGTCATCAATAAAGGGCAATATTTTCAGGAAAGTGAAGAGGAAGCTCTCTTCCTGAAGATGAGATATCTCAGCCACGTGGTACATGTCGATTCTATTATAGCCGGTGGATGTAGCCGTCAATAATGCCAGCCTTCTAGCTAAGTCTTACGGTGCTTCTGTAGACACTTTGGAATTTAGACTATCTATAAGCAGGACATTTCTAATGATTTATGGAATGCCGAGAGTGATGCCAGATCCTTCAAATCCTTTTACACCAATACAGATTCTTTCTTCTATCCGTGCTTATTCAGCTGATGACATGATCCTGATGAAACAAAAAAGAAAACGTTGTGCTGTATGCAAAAGTAAAACTACAAAATGGTGTAAAAAATGTGGCATTGGATTACACGACAAATGTTTTGTTCTATTCCATCAAAAGTAGCAATAGTTGGAATTTACAATAAAGCTATTTTCACTTTGATATCAATTAGTTTTAATTCTCTACTAAACTTGTAAAGGGCAGGTATGTGCCCAGTGGGTCGTTAGTGACCCAGCTCTAAAAACCATTTTCCAGTATTTTTTACACAAAACTGATAATTCAGTTCCATTTTTATTTACATTTACTCTAATATTTATATCCGAAAATAACAAAAATCGAAAACTAAAATAGTTACGGGCATATATGGGTTAAGTAAACCTTAAGTTACTTTAGTAAAATTTTAGATATTTTGTCAGCAGTAACATTTTTTGTTGTCTTGCCATGCACCAATTTGATCAATCACCGACGAAAAACCATCTAGTAAATTTAATTAAGGCAGTTGCAAGTTCATATATTGACGTGCGTTTTCCTTATTTAAGTCAATAGATACGATCTTCTATTACAAAAAGACAGTTATATAATAAGCTTATATTATATCAAGGACAATACTTTTAATATTTGAAGTTGATGAAAAATTAAAGTTTATTTTATTAAGTAAATAAAATTTCTTAAGAACAACTTTTAATAAAGGACATCTATCACAACTATCTTGTTTTGGTATTTTTCTACTGTATTAATATTTCACGACTACTTGTAATCAACGAATACTTGAATCGATTAATTGAACGGAATACGTGTAATCCGTTCAATCAATCGATTTAGCGCGGAAGGAGGTTTCCCATCACTAAATAGTTCTTGTGACGTCATGGTGGATACATAAAATGTGGCACGCTCGGTTTTCATACAAATTGCTGTACTTGCGGCGTCTACTAGATATATGTCTGTGGTATTTGGTATTCCGAAAATAGTGGCACAATATTCGGTATTCGTTCGAATGTTATTTGTAGAAACCAGTGTATTGTAAGTGTATAGACAAACATGATTCTTTAATAAAACATTTATTATTTCAAATCACAGGGAACAATATCATTACACATGTAACACATAATTTTATTATTTATTTTATTTCTATTATAATAAAAAAAACATCAAGCTCACGATTTCATAAATTAAAATACGTATTAAGTCACAAGTATATTTCTTAAATTATAAAAATAAAATATAATATTAATGGCCTTCGTATCTTTGTACAATAGCTTTTTACAACTCGTGAAGTCTTTTATGACACGTTGGGCCGCCAATTCGTTATACTTTATTATTAAGGAAGAAGCTTATAATATGTTTTGCTTAAATATTGAATTTTATATAATTTAAATTTTCACGTAAAATAAATGCCCTGAGATCCAACAAATCGTTGCACAACAGTGACTTACAACAGATTGATTAATATTATTATTTAAATGTGTGCAGGGTAATTCCCAGGCTAGTTTTGTCTGCCTAATTTCGGTGGCAATTTTCACTATTTAAGTATTCCAGATATTATCATGAAAAATTATTTAATATTCGAGTGCAGTAATCTGAAATGTAGTACTTAAGTAATAAAAATTGCCACCGGAATTAGGTAGAGAAAACCAACCTGAAAATTACCCTGTACGTATTTCGCGTAAACTGAGAAGCGAAAGATTAAAACATCTCTTTTTTGTATTGTCATTAGACTTTTACGCTTCAGGGGGTTACCGCAGATCTTTAAAACGATTATGATTTTCAGTCATATAATATAAACTCTGTGTAGAATTTCTGCACCGAAGCAACAAAATACCATTTTTTTTTAAATTTATGATATACGTGTACAATGAAGAATGAAAACTTTTGAATTAAACATGTTAAGGAAACTTTGGAATGAAAGATAGAGATAGTTTTCTATAATATAAAATAAATCACTCTAAAATGTCGTCTTATTTTGAAAAGTGTGACAAGTCTCAGGTTTGAATGGAAAAGTTATGAATTAAATGTTTGATGTTTGGGCAATTTTCAGCTCAGTTTTTTCTATTTCGGTGGCTAGTTTTATTATTTAAATATTGCAGAGTATTATCATGAATCCTGAAATATTGCTTAATATTTCACGATAATACACCCTAATACTTAAATGATAAAAATTGCCACCGAAATTAGATGAAGAAAATTAACCTGAAAATGAGTAATTTCCAAAAAAATTGCCTTTTTACGTCTCTGGTCAGCCCCCTGGTGACTTTGAAGTCAATTCGACATAAGGTATACTTATAAAGTCACAATGTTAAATTTTAGGCTAAATTAAAGCTTGTTAAAAGTTTTAAAAAAATATCTCGCCTACTGTAATTTGTTACAAATAGAAATTGTCAAATACGGAATAGTTAACTTAATTAAAAAATAAGTTTAAATTAAGTACAGAACAACTTAGGGAAACAACGTGAGCTTCACGTCCCGTTTAAAAATGTGTATTAAACTTAAGTCTAATTAATAATTTAATAAGTATTTTAAGTTATATAGGTACACTTATTTATAGGAACATCGATATTCTTCTCGGCGGGTAACTTTAGTCGGTTTGATTTTGAAATGAGGGATCTGTAAACAAAAAAGTTAAGTTAAAATTTAAAAAACTCCCGGCACAAAACAGTGTACTCCAAGAAATCAAGTCACCATTCCGACTATTCAAGACCAATGTAATGAGCCTAAAGACCATAATTCTATTCTATTTGATACATATTTTCTGTCCTATAAAATATGCAGGTAAGGTACAATCAATGTTTCAACACTTGCTACTTTTTATATTAAGTAGGCAGCATACAAGCATACGGCCCGTCTGATGAAAAGCGGTCATACCGTTGCCTATGAACGCCTGCAACTCCAGAGGCGTTACGAACGCGTTGCCAACCCTTTAGAACCCTTCTCAAACCCCTTTTCAACGACTCCATGCTGTATTCCTGCGAGAATACCCCGATAGGGAGTTCATTCCACAACCTAATCGAACGTGTGAGGAAGCTCCTTTGAAACCGTACAGGTGGCGACCGGTGCGATGACAAAATGTTGCTGTCATGTCAAACAGTTCTTCAGAACATTGGCCATTGTACAGGCGATATAACCGCCATAGGGAGGCATAGTCTCTCCTCGAAGAAAGTGATTCAATATAGTTTATACGCACAGGATCGTCAACAATTGTCATAGCACGTCGTTGAACCGCGTCAAAAGGGTCTAAGTTCGCACCCGGGAGCTTTCGCCCAAAGATGGCAGCAGTATTCCATGTGGGGACGAACTTGTGACTTATAAAGTAGCAGACTCTGGTCCGAAGTGAACTAAAACTAGGATTCAATTATATGAATTAAATTGAGAACTCGCGATGCCCTAGATGATGGCATCCCCTTTTGTATAACTACGCTAATGCGTTTGGCAAGTTAGCAAGGGTTTCTCGGACAATTTATTTATTTTTTGAATAAAATTTTGTACAGACGAATGGCATCAGGACTCCAAGAGTCAAGAGTTTCGATTCCAAAGGCTGTAAATAGTAGTCGGAGCCGAGGTCCTATTACTTGTTACTCTTTATTCCTTCCACCAGCGCAACTGTGGAGCCAGCCTTCTTGCTGGTGTACTAGAGATGGGATGGGGCAAGAGTGTCGGCACACGTGGCGTCCCTCACCAGTGTAAGAAGCCCGGGACATACTCCAAGGGATGAGTGTCATTCCATTCGAGCGTTTTCGAAATTTTTTTATAATAACAAGTGACGGGACGAACAATTCGGGCGCCTGGTGGTAAGTGACACGCATGTCCATAACAGTTGCAGTGCCACTCAAAGCTTTAAATCGCAAAGATCTTAGAGGCACTGACTCTGCGCTTGTCACATACGTTGATAAGTCACAAGTGCCTGGCATTTTACCAGCACCCTTACCTTCAAAATCGGAACGCAGTAATGCTAACATTACTGCTTGGCGACAGAAATAGGTAAGATTAATAGGTAACTGCTAGTAAATATTTCTACACGATATTTGATAAATAAATAAGCGAATACAGTTTGCAAAAACTTCCTCTATGTGAAAGAAATTTTAGACGTAACTTACCTGTTTTAAGACGCCTTTGCTGGGTATATGAAAGTGCCGACGGAGTCTTTGCCGTACATGTTTTTGGCCGTGCAAGTGAACACACCCATGTCGTCCCATCGCAGGCCCGTTATCAGCAAATCGCCAGATGATAAAATCTGGAATATTTACGATGCTTATGAGTTGTGTCGTTAGGCAAGGTTAGATGTGTGTTGATCCTTTAAACGCATATAATATCATATTGTACATCCAGTCTTGAAGTTGTTACCCACGAGACAGGCTTTGCGTAGTGTATGTGTAATTATATTAATTGAGATCAGTTTTCTATATTTGAGCAATAAATTACTTTTTTTTATTTATAGATGGGATCTAGTTGTGTACAGAAAGTAATAAATTGAATGGAAAAACACAGAAAAGACATATGCTTCTGTGGTCATGCAAATCATCTCAAAAAATATCTACATCATCAGATGAAAAATTAAATGTAATAGGCAAAGGTACATTCAACAGTGTCATCTGAGTAAATTCGAAATTTCCTTTTTGTAGGCCTATAAGGCCTGAATTATAATATTATCCGGCGTAAGTCTATCCGTCAAACCCAGTGAGTTTGGTTCAGTCGGATTATGGAATCAGGTGAACTAGCTCCAGATGAGTCAGCCACTGTTGGATCTCTATGGTTTGTTTGGATTATACCAATTTCATAATAATGACAAATTTCGTGGGCCTTACACTCTAATCAATAGACGCCTTGCGTGTATAGTGTACGGTTCGTCGATACTCTATGACAATTGCCAAAAATGCCCAAAGTACCTCTAAATTGTTGTGTGTATACTTACACACAACAATTTAGAGGTACTTTGGGGTAGGTGTTACACATAGAGCTTTAGGAGAAGACTATTGCTTTCCCAAGGCTATTGCTCTCCCAACTGAGATATGGAAGGAGTCAGCAGATCTTACGAATTTCCTCATGCGCCTGCTCCAGATTGTAATTTTGTTTTAAAACGCACCCTTTTTTAACTAATCGTGGTTTATTCATTATAATCAACACCTTTTAGGGGATCTGTCAGTAGGTTTAGTGGACAGAAAAATATATTTGGAAGACTGACAGTTGCGTCTATGGTTACCACATATCTTTATTTGTATTTATTATAGACATCACACCTACGTACAGACGACAACACATTGACGGATCTTGTTCCGTTACATTGGAGGCGATATTTCAACAAAAGTTTAGAGCTTGACTGCCTTCATGGCCGAATGGTTTATTTCTCTCGTGAGTTTGGGTGTAATTTGTGGTTGTTTATGTGTGTGTCTATGGCACCCGCAATACAGGGTCTTGGTGATATCAGGGTCTTAGTGCGAGGCTATGAGTGTGTGCTTTATTTGTTTATATACTTAGCTTGACGAGCTATTACCTGTACTTGCTTACTTGTTCAACTACTGTATTTCAATTTCAACTTTTTTTATACTAAAAACTAAGTGCGCATTAGACTTCCATCTCACCTGATGGAAAGTGACGATGAAGTCGACAATAGAGCATGCACACATAAATAATGCCTTGTTTTGCCTTGGTTCAGGGAACAAGTCTGCAGGCAGGGAATTCCACTTCATAGCCGTTCTTACTTACCCGGAACCTCGAGTTTCCGTAAATAACATTATCGCCGTTATCTTCCCAATACACCTGCGCCTTGGAGTCACTGTGTACCCTACATGGCAGCACGATGTTCGTGCCCACAGTCTGGATCACCTCGTTGTATACAGATGTTATCACCGGCTTCATGGGCGGGACGATATCTAGTGGCATTAGGTCTGGATCTTCTGGAAATTGAAGCATATAATTAACAAAATAATTAATGTTTTTTATTGAACTGAATTGAACGCTATACCAACTAAGCCACGGAAAGAACCAGCAGACTTCACGAATATTTCTATGTCTTTGTTCTCGTATTTTCGTATATAATTTTTAACGACTTTTTAGCCGCCATATACGAGAAATCTATGAAAGTATTTCGTAACCCAGTTAGACACCTTTACAGCTACCAGTCCCGGCTAGAGATGTCGCTATTCACTGTATTTAAATTTATTTAAGGTTTGAATCTGGCCGTATCGAAGGATTTTTTTCTGAGTGTCTTTGTATTAATAATTTTATTAAAATATTAATAATAATTAATACAGTAGCAGTTCAGGTCCTTGTGAAAGAGTTCGTCTAGCGAAGCGTAAGAGGTTAAGTTGCAGGTACATGGGATTTGTCAATTTTTGTTTCAGGGCGATAGACACAGTGGCAGTGCCCCACAGATTGAGTGGCACTGCAACACAGGCGCTAGACTTATTCGTCCCGTCATTCGGTATCTTAAAAAAAGTTTCCGAACTCACTGTTGCGAACGCAACAGAATTTTAGTAATAAAATGTAATATAACTTTCGAAGCAGTGACCAAACGCTTATCAAGGGCATTACGTAGTCCAGGGGTTCTATTTTGAACCAATCAACTAACATCACATACATGTTATTTCATCTCTACCACAATTTAACAAACTTTTTGTACGAACTAAAAAAGATAAAAAAGGAGTTCACTTTTGAATTGTACTTCCATATGAAACCAATAACCTATTGCCAATATATTACAGTCAAGTTAAATCGTCTTTCCTTTAACGAGCTCGTCGATATCCTCCACATCTTCTACTCGGGTCTGACGGCTACACTCACTATACCTTTAACAGATACTTTTCTATACTAAAATACTATTCTTAATTAATCCTAACAAAAGTGTTTTATCCAAAACAATCACTTATTTATTTGCCTTTACAAAAACATCAGGCGATTAAATCATTATTACACTTTTGCAAAAATTGTGTATCTTTGAACGTTAAAAATATGATACTGACCTTGTACGGAAACAGTAGTTGATAAACTCAATTGATTGACACCCGACATTGCAACACAGGTATAGACGTCTCCGTCGCGAGGCGTGGACACCACTAACTTGGCAGTCATGTGCGCGATGCTGAACGGTTGGACAGCTGATATCTCATTAGACTCTTCTTCGAATTGCTGTGAAACAATATAAATTTGTTTAGGCATGATGTTAAATGCGTTAACTCTCACTTTATATTATAGAGTAACTAAATTGAAATAGATAAAATATATCGAGCTCTTTCCGGATTTAAATCGCGTGTATTTGTTTTTTCAAACAAATCAACTTTTCGGGAACTTTACAGGCCTCATTGTCATGGATTTCTCTCTTCTTTTTAAAACTTCTTCATTTAATATTTTCTCCATAAATTTTCTTTTGTTCATTCATTTCATTCATTCATTTTGTAAAATGATTCCAATCTCTCTGCCTAGCTTTGTGATTGTTCAAGTCTCGCATCCAACAGTCTTGATTTGTCCTTGGACATTACATATTCCCAAAGAAGGATCAAAAACTTACATCAATCGGATCTCCATTCTTCAACCAACTAACGTAAGGGTTAGGCGAAGCGTAGACCTGGCACTCCAACGCAATTGGCTCACTGCGGATCAGGTTTATGGTCTCCGGCATGCCCTTGATTCGCACGTAGGGTTGCACGAAGGTCTTCTTGCGAGGTGGTACTACTGTAAATAGAAAAAAGTTGACTATAAAGAACCGTGTTTAGGTTATTGAGTTCTTAGATATTCCCGACATATAGTAAATGAGACTATTTTTTTGAGCACTGGACCGGGGGTATACTCTTTATGTCGTTGTCGTTTTCAGCGCCTTATTATTCCAAGTGTGCGATATAATACCGGTGATCACGGTAGATAATTGTTACAATAGGGTGCACGAAAGCAGCCTCCTCACCAGACGTACCATTACTTTTCTCGGGGTCCATCCTATTCTCCGTCCGTTATCCGTCCGAAACATTTAAAGTCCATGAATCCATAGCCAAAAATGCAGCAAGGAAGCTTGGCATCCTTTCCAGGGTGAGGCGTTACTTTATACCGGGACAGTTGCTTCAGCTGTACCAAGCACAAATCCGGTCGTACATGGAGTGCTGCTGCCACCTTTGGGATGGCTCTGCTACATATCAACTGGCCACTGGATTCAGTTGACAATCGTGTCAAGAGTCTTATAAATGACTCGGAATTAGTGGAGGCGAAGCTGCAAAGCCTTGAACACCGCCGTAGAGTTGCCTGCTTATCGGTATTTTACAGGATATATCACGGAGAGTGTGCGATGTATTTGCACGATTTAATACCGCCTTCCCCTTTCTATCACCGGGGGACTAGGCGTATGCTTGGCTTCCACCCCTATGTTGTGTATATTCCAAAGATTCGCACGAAGCGTTACGCTTCCACATTTATATGGCGAACGGCTATGGAGAGGAATTCCCTGCCTGCAGACTACTGTTATAACTTGGACCTTTTCATGGCGAGAGTGAATAGGCATTATTTAGGTGTGCATGCTCCATTATCGACCTCATCGTCACTTTCCACCAGGTGAGATTGAGGTTAAATGCGCATTTATATTTTATAAAAAAATGTAAAACTCGATCAAATTAAAAAACAATGTCTTGTATGAAGCTTCATTCGCATTATGTCTTTTAATATAGTCGAGTGCCTATTATTTATTTGACAGTAATTGTTTAGGACGGATATCGGCGACCCCTTGTACAGTCAAGAGCACATCAAGCTTTGGACTTTGGACCGTTCATATTGCAAGCGGCATAGAGTTAAATTTAAACCTTTAGTGTCAAGCTTGACGTGCTCTTGACCCTGTACGTATAGCGCAGAGTTGCTGTCCAGAACAATCGGCGAGTATCTTACGCCGATTGGTAAACCCTTTCACCATGGCAAGGATTATAATGTATGGCATCGATATGATAAGAAGAATTATTATACCGTATTAGTAGCAGTAGAGCTCCTATTGATAGAGTTCTTCTAGGGAAGTTCTATCACCTTACCTATTTCTGCCGCCAAGCAACCCAATGCTCAAATCAGGACTTGAGTATGATTTAAAGCACTAGAAATCTTACTCACGTCCTTGCTATTAGGGTCGTATTTCCAGTGAAATCATACTCAAGTCTTCCTTAGTATCATAAAAAACAAAAATTAGAAAGACAAGCGCTGACTGGATTCAAGTCATGACACCTAACAAGGGAAAGAACTATTCATTCTCGAATATCACAAACATTGAATACTGAAATTTCGAATATGTATGCAAAAAATTAAATTATACATTCAATTTTACTTTAAAATGGCCCCAGGAGCCGGACGGAATTTAGCAAGTCGATGAAGCCAGCTGCGGAGTTCTGGGTAAAAAGTAATTTGAAATCCTAATTCTTTTATAGGACCAACTGAGTGAGCCGACTGTTAGCACCAATAGTTGCGAAACAAACCCTTTATATTTCAGTTATATTGGTTGACATTCCAAGAATTATAATTATTAACACAAAGGTCGAACACTCAGGAACAAATTCTTTCGATCCGGCTGGATTCGAAGCGATGTCTTCTAGCTTACCGTGCTAGACGCTATACCGACTAAGCCACGGAACGAACCAGCGGATCTCACGAATTTTTCTATGTGCTTGCATCGTATCTTTGTATTTGGTTTTTCAACGACTTTTTGGCCGTAGCGCCATCTATGAGAAATCTATGATATGATAACTGATTTTGATGATTCTTTTTTGTTGGAAAGTATTGGTTTTATATGAAATTTAAGAAAATAATCCGCCTCTAAGGGTGGCAAACTAACCCTAGTTGATGAATCCGGTTTGTCGCACTTTCTTTTTTTTTTAATTTATTTGGTCAGTCAACAATTGTTACACCAATAAATGATCAGAAAACTAACATGCGAAAAACTTACTAGTAAGTACACAATTTATTATAGACCGACACTACATACACAATAAATTATTGCAGAGTAAAAACCACTTACAAAAACAAGTAGTGTTAATATCTTAAGACTTAGCGAAAGCATAAAAAGAAGTTAGGAGACTTCCCGTTTATCGATCCAAATAAAACTTGGCTAATAGGTTTACTAGGTTAGACTTTGGAGGTCTTTATTTTACTAAGAAAGATATAATTGTAAAATTTTACAATCAACAGTGAGACAATTCGTCATAGTTTTGTTGGTTCATTGTACAAACTTTCATTTTCTATTTCACTCGCTTTAAGATTTATTTTTGTAATAAAACATAGCTTCCATCTCCCAGGTCTCCATCTCCATACCTAAAGCCATCAAAATGGATTCAGAGGTTTAGGCGTGAAGATGTAATAGACAGACAGAGTTACTTTGGCATTTATAAAATTAGTTTGGACGATGAGTTAATTAAAAAAGAATTCTTGAGTTTTTTGTGACAAATGATTTACATAATAAATGGTAATTTATATTTTATGCCAACTATCTCTCGTAAATGTTGAAATCCCTTCAAGTCACTCTTATATTTGGTCCTAATTCTCATAAAGTATTGGAATTCAAAAATTTGCGATCTAGATTTGAATAAAATTGAATTTCTTAACTTCTTTGTTGAGACACAGTATTTGGCTAAAGCAAGGATCAACCAAACCAAACAATCCCACTGCTGTATGTATGTAGGAAATGTATTGTCATCTCCAAAATTTTTGTTGGAAAGAGAGTACCTCCATTATGGTCCCCTTTAATTTTGAAGAAAATCATCCACCTCTAAGGGTGGCTGTTCACTCATGAAGATTCATTAATAGATAGCGCCTAAATTTAATTATAAGCATCAATTATTATAATACTTGATTTTGCTATTCTCCAATTCAATGCGTTTTTCTCTCTCAATATACTTTGAGTAGTGAGAACCGATTTTTATTCTCCTGTGTGAAGTCCACGTTTGGCAGGCAGGTTGACACAGTGATTATTTTTTACCGTTCTCACACGAAAATATATTCAACGTTTGTAAGTTAAATAGGTCTTAATCGCTATAAAATAAGATGTAACACAATATAATTAATTCCACTCACCATTAGCCTGTAAATTGTTATCCAAGTTAATATTTTGGCGATCAAGTATCGCGGCGTATGACTGGAAACCGTAGTGCGACATCAGCGCCGCGGTGACTAGAAGCGAAAGTATCGAAAACATTGTACAGCTACTCGACTATAGATGGCGTTAGTTGTAAGTTAGTTATCGTCTGAAACAAAATGCATTCATAACTTTAGACGGTATTAAAAAATCTGTTTTAGTTTGTGTAAAGTTTTTATTAAAGGCATTAAACAGATGTTGTGTTCTATTAAAATGCAGATTAAATAAATAAAGACGCGGTTTTGGTGTTCTTGTAAATTGTGAGCGTAAGAAAGTACGTATCTATTACGTTACGAGGCTAATAGTCGGCCACGCCTATAGTCCACTGCTGGGCGCAAGAAACAAGAGTATTTGACCATTATCGCCATGATTGGCCAGTTCTATAACGACTGCTTTTCATATAATGTCAAGCGATGTGCAGAACACGTCGTGCGCCTGTTGGTAAGCGACACGCCTATCCATGACAGTTGCAGTGCCATTCGGAGCTTTACCACCTCAATCAACCATGGGACCTGTAAAGGGCCCGAAATGTTGGTTTGTTTGAAAAAACAAACATACGCGATTTAAATCCGGAAAAATTGTTTCATTTCTTATGTGTAACAATCGCGAAAATGTAAGAACTCGATAAGCACTAACATAGTTGTTAATTCTTATTAACACACTACGGGTACTTTTCTGAAATAAAGTATTATTGTTATTAATTAGATCGCTTTATAACTGCGGGTGTGTTATATAATTGACTTCGTCTACTCTGGTGATATAAACACTGACGTCAAAAGTCAATATAAGCCCCCCACCGTTTCAAAGTCCAGTGGTAGTTAACCTTTCATTAAAAGTCTCGGTAGGGGTCAAAAGTCTTCTTTTTCTTTCTGTCCTTATCTCACGCTAGGTGGGGTTGGCATCACATGTATTTTTTTTCCACTCTGATAGGGGTATCAGCCGTCATTTCCATATTCAGACCTTTCTTACCTATGTTATTCTCCTTATATCCCTCCACATTTATAGCTAACACTGTTCTCGTCACATGACACTCTTCCCTCCGCATGACATGTGCATACCATGCTAACCTACTCCTCATCTTTTCCGTCTCTGGAATCTGGAATTCCGTTTTCCGACTCATTCCCTATCTCATCCTTTCTCGCCATTCCACATAACCATCTCAAAATTAATAGTTAGTTAATCCTTCCTTCTAATCGCCCAACATTTTGATCCATACAGTACGTCAGGTCTAATCACGGTCCTGTATATTTTCCACTTTAGCCTAATAAGGGGCATTCGCCATGCCTGTGACCCATCGTCATTTCATTCATCCTGCACCTGTCTTGTTCTTAATTGATCATTGAGCCATACGATGCCCACTACTGGGCAAAGGCCTCCCCCAATGATCTCCACGACGATCGGTCCTGCGCTGCCCGCATCCACCGGCTTCCCGCAACCTTTACCAGATCGTCGGTCCACCTGGTGGGGGCCAACCCACTGAGTGTCGCCATTGAAGAACCTTTCCGCCCCAACGGCCATCGGTTCTCCTAGCTATGTGCCCCGCCCATCAAGCTATGTCGGTTACCTTAGTTCTCTTACGGATTTCTTCAATTCTGATTCTATCATGTAGGGAAATACCGAACATCGCTTCTCCATTGGCCGCTGAGTGACCTTGAACCTTCTTATGAGTGAGGGACCACGTTTCTGAACCATATGTGATCACTGGCAACACATACTGGTAAAAGACTTTCGACTTAAGATACTGAGGTAATTTGGACGCGAAGTTTTTTTTGTAGTTTCTGAGGTAATTAATTTCAATTATGTTTTTAACGTTCCGGTCTATCTCGCCGTCGTTCTGTATCAACGAACCGAGGTACCGAAAAAAAAATCAAAATAGGGTCAAAAGTCATGGTCATAAAATGTAGATAGATAGATAGATAGATAAACACTTTATTCACTGATATAACACAAATACAGTTTACGCATAAAAGAAAAAACAAAACATGATTGTCATAGCAGTGAAGCGGCGCTGACTCAGCATATGCCAAAGTTTCCTAAGGCGCTGGTTTACGACTACGAGTAAAGTTATACATTGACAATAATAATATACATAGTAAAGTGTAAATAGTGCATCTAAAATAACCTGTTTAACATATAAGCATATAAGTGCATGAGCAAATGTGAATATAATTACAGCTGTAGGTGTAAGTTATGACTGTAAAGAGGATTTAATGTTGTGTAATGTATTTAGTATTATAATATAATTATACACATACTAAGAATAGATCAAAGCAACAACAAAATTCGATTCTAGACAGACTACGTTAAAGAATAACAATACACTACACAGATTTTTGAAGTTAGAGTAGGTGTTGCCGATACAGTGCTTTGAATTTGGGTTTGGATGTCTCGTTGCGTATAGGTGGTGGAATATTATTCCAGCACTTTGAGGCCGAGTATTTGAAACTACCTCGAAAAGCTGCAGTTCTATGTTGTGGTACCATAAGAATGTACATAAAGTCTAGGTTGCAAATTGATCACGGTAACACCAGAGATTACGTACGCTGACACTCCGATCATCAATTAGAAAGAAAAATGTGTTATTATTTTTGAATTCCATATAAAAAGGTACATTTATCTTATTGGTACGTTTTAGAAGGTTGAGTCATTCCAAAATAGATTGTCTCCGGAATTCTAGCTCGGACCGTTACGTCTGTGAGGCCCCAATATGCAGGTGCTCAATTTACGTTATGATTGCAGTAATGTGATAAAAACGGTTTGTCTTTTCAAATATTACACTCTATTTCAAACTATATACGACATGACGAGACGGACAGGTTGATCGACTGGTAGTAAGGGACAGTTACAAAGCCATTCAGAGCTTTAAATCACAAAGATCTGTGGGGCACTGCCACTGCGCCCGTCACTCTGAGACATACGTTGACAAGTTCCACGTGCCTGATTTCACCAGCGCCCTTAACATTAAGATGGCAGTTCATTCGTAGACGAACTCTTTCACAAGAAGCTCTACTGCTACTAAATCTTTTTATGTTTCAAATAAGATAGTCACACAATTTCATGTGGTCCGTATTACTTTTATGACCATCATGTGATAAAAGCACTTACTGATGATCACATGTGTTTTATTATACCAAAGACAGGGTTCAAGCATTGTGCTTGGCTGTAACAAATATCTAAGACCATACGTTAGGTGACGGAGCTAATTATATAAGAAATAGAAATAGAAAGCATTTATTGCAATGCCACATTTAAAAAAAGACAAAGAAACTAAAAACAAAACAAAGCGTAGTTTAAACAACAAGTTGCACTATTTCCAATAGCATAATATTGCTGTGGCGTATACAAAAGGACCCCATTCGGCTAAAGTCACAGCCAAAACTAGGCTGTGATGCTGGTTTTCAATGAGCCCTAGCCGAATGAGTGACAGACGTGTGTGTCATTATAACATGTTATTTATGAAAAAAATATAAAAATCCCACGATTCAAATGTTTTCTTCTCGCCCTACAATATATCTGTCAGTAAAAGGACATGATAAAGTTTGATATTTTAGAATTTAGATGTTTTACAAAATATTAGCTTTAGAATGCTAAAAATCGCGCAATGGTGAAAGTTATTAAGTCCTATCGTCGTTTGTTTTTTATTTAACATAGTTTTATTGACCTTTAGATGTCTATTGGACTTGTAAAACGCCCTGTAACAAGAATTACTATTATACTTCTTTATCTCTCATCTTCAGATGTTGCAGTTATATTATAATTATGTGCTTCGCAAACTACAACAGTTGGTACTTTTAAAACACTTTTTTTACGACCTGGTAAACAGCAGGCAGCCAATTTTAAATAAAGAATTTTGCATTATAAAATACCTTAAATTCTTTTGTCTTTGTAAACTGAAATAGCGCGAAAGTAGTTTTTAGGCAAATTTTTATTTAATTAACATTACTGTTTTCTTTTCTCGCAGTCAAAGTGATAACCAGAACGTTTAAAATGTAATTATTTTACGTCTTTAGTTAACAATCTGAGCAAATTAAAAACAGAAAACACGGAAAACTGCCATCTTGTATATTTCTGCCACCAAACAGCAATGTGAGAATTACTGCGTTTCGGTTTTGAAGAGGTTACTGGTGAAATTATAGGCTGATGTGACTTTTCAACTTAAGTCTATAAGCTCTGAGTGGCACTGCAAAAAAATATTTCACGAATTCACAGTAGACTTGGGTCGAGACGAAAACAGACTTAATAAGTTTAATGTAGAAACCCTTGCCCGCCATCGAGTTACCAGTGACTTATGTACATTGCACAAAATAGTTAATGGTGGATTTGGTGACATGTTACTGGATAAGATCGGCATAACGGTGCCAACTCGTTTAGTTCGCCGACGTCAATTATTTGCTATTCAAGCTTTCGTAAGTAATATTTGTTGTAACCATGATATATTCCGTGATAGCCTTCCCGCATTCAAAACGTTCGTCGTTAAACGGCTCATTTGACCTAGTTTTAAGATCTTCTATTTTAAAATTCTTCTATATTGTTTTTATTAGTTTTTGTTCATGATATCGCACAATCTATAGTTTTGTGAATACTGTGTGCAGTTATAATTGGAATGCTGATTTACTGATGTTTCTTTTTAAAATCAATTTTGTTTGAAAATACTGCTGTTTTTATATATACTATATAAGTTTCTGATCCTGAATATTTACGACATTCAAGTGTGGAATGATCGTAGATCCCTAATGACTACACTCAATAAAGCCAGATCACGAAATAGCTAGACCGAATATAAAGTGGTTTTATTTTAGGGAAAGTAAAAAGCTATCAGCGTTGCCAGTACTGAAATTAGATTTATGGCATAATTAGATTCTCTGTGCTGTAGCTAAATTCAGCGTTATTGATTTTGTTATCCGACAATAGACGGAGTATATTTACTTTAACTTCAAGGAAATTACACATAGAATGGATAATACCTCCCACATGTGTTTTTGTTTATTTATAATACTACGTGATAAAATCAATTTAAAAAAATAAGTTGTGGTTAAAATTTGTTGTTCGCCAGTTGTTGCTGTGATTCCTTTGAACATTAGCTTGTGGGGGTCTCTAATGCTTGATAATAATTTATGATCTTTTTCAATATGGCCGTCATACAAGCGTTTATAACAATTTGCTCTAATTCATTTGAAAACCTGCAGGTAGGGGTTTTTTCGCCTTTTTTTCAATATGGCTGCCATACAAACTTTTTAGCGGCAGCTTTTTTAAATATGGCAGTTATTAAAGAGCTATTTTAATTTTTAAAACAAAGTCATGAGTGCCGAGCCAGTAGGCCGAGGTCCGCGGAGGACGAAGCCCGAAGCATCCGCACGCCACCGTACGCAGGTAATACACAGAGGCGTAATAGATTACGAGTACAAAATTTCACAATTGTGAAAATGTAGGGCATAGTTCCCGATGTAGTGGAAATGACATTCTTAATAGCGTTATTGTATCTCGATCGTCTCTCTGTTAGATTCCTTTAAGAGAAGTATTTAGGGGGAAAAAATGCCAAACTTCTGCCGAATTTCCTGTACTATGAATACCAGAATAACAATAAATATGAGGGCAATACCCAGAATACTTAGACCAAAACCAACACAGAAATGTTCGTTTCTTAAATTGGCCCAAATCGGAAATAGAACCTCGTCAAGCACCTATAGTACTAACCGCTGTGCCACCGAAGAGCATGAGCGCACCCCGTAATCTGAACCCGACCACGTACCGCGGGCCGAGCCCGACACCACCGTAGATGACCCCATCTACGGCGGGGTCGGGACTCATTAAATATGTGAGCTTTGCCATCGAAAGGCCTTCTAGTTCCTATGACTCAAGACGCGGCCTTTAGAGATTTTTCTACATTAAAAGTATTTTTCCTACGTATGGTACGAAGAGACCATGAACCTCCCTTGCTACGTTTCTGACAAACATCTTTCTCCTACTTCACATCAGTCAATACAGCATATTCGTTTTTTTGTTTTCTCTTCTATTTTAAGCGTAATACTAGACGTAGGTTGCGAGTCCACCCCTAAGTTGTGGATATTTCAAGAATTCGCAAGAAGCGTTACGCTTCCATATTTAAATGGCATTTAGATCTTATGTATATAGCGTTCAGGGATACAGAGTGGTGAATTGAACCCTGTAGTTCAGTTTATTAGCAGTAGAGCTCCTTGTGAAAGAGTTCGTCCAGGGAATTACTGCCACCATTTCTATTTCTGCCGTCAAGCAGTAATGTTGGCATTACTGTGTTCCGGTTTTGAAGGGTAAGGGTGCTGGTGAAATTACAGGCACATGGGACTTGTTCAATTATGTCTTAGGGTGACGGGCGCAGTATCCTCAGATCTCTGTTTTTAAAAGCTCTGAGTGGCACTGTAACTGTTATAGACAGGCGTGTAGCTTACCATCAGATATTGTAAGAAAAAGATCAAAACGCCTTGGAAAGGCGTTGTTTAGGTTTAAAAAATGGTTTGAAAAGCATATTTACTACATTATTAAATATTTTATTCTTTCCTGTATTAGAGAAGTTCTAAATGACTGAAGTGATACAATTATAGCATTGCTCTTACAACAAGCGGCGACGAAAGCCGATAAACCAGTAGAAAGGTCTGTAACCAAAACACAAGAGAATTTCGACAGCTCGGTAACTTAACCTGTGGCTCTGTTGGTAAGAGCAATGCTACGGTGCAGCATGGTTGTCGGTTCAAGTTCTACCGGGTCGAAGAAATTTTTCTATGCGCTCGATCTTTGTTTTAATAATCTAAAGTGGGTGAAATCCAATAACCGGATCCATCTTTTTTGATCCATTGCTATCCTTACAGGTGGAATGTTTTCTTCAAATTTGAATGGTATTATTAATCTCCTTACATGGAAGAAATGACTCATCCAAATCGGTTAACAAATCGGAGTAATTGCTTAACATAACACAAAAAACACAACTTGGGCCTTTGCACGGCGAGAGTGAACAGGCATTATTTAACTGTACGTCGTACACCTTATCGTCACTTACCACCAGGTGAGATGGAGGTTAAATGCACACTTATACAAAAAAGAATACAGTTCAATGGACTGCCTTTTTTGAAGTCGGTTTAAAAAGGTAAGGGGTGCATACCTTAGTAGGGGAGCAGTAGGGTTCCTATTTCTACCGCCAAGTAGTAGTGCTACCATTACTGCGTTCCGATTTTGAAGGATACGGGTGCTGATGAAATTTCAGGCAAATGGGACTTGTCAACTGGGTGCAGTGGTCCTCAGATCTTTGTGATTTAAAGCTCTGAGGGGCACTGCAACTGTTAGGGACAGGCGTGTCCATCAGGCGCACGACTTCTTCGTCCATCACTTAGTTATTATTAAAAAAATATTTTTTTGACAAACTTAAGTGTAAAACCATAATATGTTGTACTAAAATCCAGTTGCTTGTAAGAATCGAATAGATAGTATAATATTCTACAACATTATATATATTTTTTTGAAATCAGACAAAATAGCTAAATTATGACGGTTTTTGTGAATTGGACTGTATGATAAAAATTACGAAAACTATGTATGTCACAAGACAGATCACAGTGAGTCAAAATGCATTTTTGTAACGTTTTCATTAGTATATAATACATATAAAATAAATAAAACTATTTAAAATTTCAGCTCAATCTGATGTAAGATAACAGAAAAAACATATATAGAACGCTGCAAGTTAAACTGAAGCTTTGAATATGAAAAACAACTTGTCATAATTTTGTTTGAACAAATCAGTTTTGACTCAAGTCCATAAAAATAAATATACAGCGTGACATTTATTTTGAGATATGACAGTACTTTTCACAAAAAACAACAAAGTCGAGTAAAGAAAATCAATTGTTTCATATAAAATATTCTGTACCTAGCAGATTTACGAGTATATGTATAGAACACTGCATTATCATCTGATTCTAGACCAGTGAGAGAAGGAAAATATCGTCATGAAATGCACGTAGAAGAAGGTTCACAAGGTAAAGTCTCAAACCGACAACGGAGCAGCGTGGTAAACTATAAACCTTCTCCTTAGAGAAGACCCGTGCTCAGTATAACAAGTTGATAATGATGATAATAACTCACACACTCATAGCCCTGCACTAGGGGAACCCTGTGTTACTGGTGCCATGGACACACACAAAGATATCTACAAATTACACCTAAACTCACGAGAGAAATATATGTAGGCCATATAAATATTTCACCCGACCCGGGAATCGAACCCGGGACCTTAGCGTGGCAGTCCAGTAGAGTAATTGTTCGGCCACGGAGGCAGTTAATGAATGATAATGATAAAAGATAGCAATAAAATGTCAACATGTATATTTATTTTTGTAGACTTAAGTCTCGAAATTTGATTGTTCATATTTCCGAATCGCGTTTGATGTATTAAAGTCTTCCTAAAGGCCAATGGACTTATAAAACATAACATTTTTAAAGGCAATTGGTTTACATAAGAAATAAAGAGATTTTGAATTTAACCGGAGACCATGCGCGAATCTAAGTCAAATAAGGCTGACGCAACATTCAGTGGAACTAAATCATATATTCTCGACTATGAAGCAATTGGAGGGTGACTCAAGGACCACTTTCTATGAAGGACAAGTCTATTTTTAGTACAGTCAGAATTATTCAATGGTGAATGTAATTTTGGAAGTTATTTTTAAAAGTTTATAATTTCGAGTTCTTAGGTTTTCGCGATTGTTACACATCGGAAATGATACTATTATTTTGCATCTAAAATTCTGTATATTTATATTTGTTTGAAAAAACAAATATATATTCGAAAAATGGTTTAATTTCTAAGTTTATTTATTATTAGGGGAACACTAAAAAAAGGTTGAATTATGATAACAATGTTCATACAAACCGCTGGTCACGTATACCAGAACGTTTGATTTGAAAAAAAGAATCAAAGTCAAAGTTAAATAATTACATATTTATTCCTTATGTAACATTTTTACACTTGAAAACTGTAAACGGTCACCGTGCCGACTTCATTGAGAACAACGAGCAAGAAACTCTAGGGATTCCTATTTTCAAATAAACTTAAATGCTATAGAATACATTTTGAATTATATTTGTATGGAATCTACACTCATGTTGTCTTCCCATACACTTTTATCTAACACGTAGTCTTAAATTTGGTAATAGACTTTTCAATAAAAATACTTTAAATATAAGTTTTAAACTTAGGAAATATAAAAGGAAAATGACTTCAATAATCTTTTGATTTTGATTGTGGTTCATATGAAAGTTGTTATCATGCAATTTTTTTTCAGCGTTCTTCTAAATATGTCCAAGAGAATGCTTTTTGATAAAACAGTTTTTTTATAGAAAAAGTATGACTGGAAGTTCAATTCATGTGTTCTTTAAATTACACAGGATTAATTTATGATGCACGACTGTCAATGACATTTAATTTATAGTGTATGTTTAGTGGTTATGGCGGAATATCAAACAGGGCTAATGTAATCCGTAGTCCTTTCTGATAAGTATGTTTATTTTTATTGTAAATTTTTTTTGTGTTACATATCAAATAAAATAATTTAGAATTTTAATTTGACGATGAAAAATATCACAGTTTAATTCTTTTTAAATGCCAGAAAAAAGTGCACTAAACTATCCAAATAAGAAAAAAAAATCACGTAAAAATGCATCATCATCAATCAATGCATTATCGTAGTTAAATATTCGAAGAGATAACAAGTTTTTCAAAGAAAAATACCAGCGATAAGACAGCGTAGACATTTTTTCCCCCAAAAAAATATAACTAATCAAATAAAAGTAAAAAAACTTACCTCTTGTAAAAGACGAGAAAAATCTTTATCGAAAAACAAAGATGCACAAAGCACGATCACTGGAAGTGTCACACGGAGCGAATCTGATGAACTACGACCAAAGATGGCTTGTTTCTCCTTTTATACCGAACAGAGGCGCGGCTCACACCGGCGTTTTCTCGTGTGGACTTCTATTTACGGGATGATTACGAGACACGTGTTAGGGAATTTAGACGCAATTTGTACTAAATTTTTTTTTTATCAATTTAATTGGATACGGTTCATATTTTGATAGCTGTTAGTGTTACATATTTATATTTAAAAATGAAAATAAAATCTTTTTTTCACACCATATTTGTATTGTAAAAAAACATTTTTTTTTCCATTTTTTTTCAATAATCCATTATATTACATAAAATACAGTATAATATTTGCAGTCGACTAACTCTCGTGGAACGCATTTCTATGTATTAATTATGTGCCTGTAATATCGTTTAAAACTACTGACACGCCCGTATTTCTTGCAGCTAGTCGGTTATGTGTAACTAAAAAGTCGCTAGTCATATAATCGTAAATAACAATAAATGCTGGTAAAACAATAAGCATGTCTATGTTTTTATATTTTGTTTATACGATATATATATTAACTATCAAATTTTAGCTTATGGCACCATTTTTAAAAGTAGCAACAGTCTTTTTTTGTTTGGTTTAATTGTTAACTGATATACTTTTAAATAAATAACATATTGAACTTTCTGATTATTGACTTTGCCTAATGTAGGTTTATTTGGAAAAAATATTCCATTTAGATCTGTTTTTTTTATGATATAAAGTGATGGAACGAACAAGTCGTGAGTCTGTTGGTCAGGGACATAGTCGCAAAGCCACTCAGAGCTTTAAATTGCAAAGATTTCAGGGGTACTGTCATTGCACACGTCACTTGAGACTTAAGTTGATAAGTCGCACGTGCTTGTAATTTCACTAGCTCCCTTACCCCTTCAAAACTGGAACGCAGTATAACGGAACACAGTAGGGATCACATTACCGCTTGGCGGCAGAAATAGGTAAGGTGGCATTACTTCTCTGGACGAACTGTTTCACAAGGAGCTGTACTGTTAGTAAAGCTTTAGTCTCCAAATACTTCTTACTATCTGTTCTTGTGGAAATATCTAGAAAACTTTGCTGGCCTCATGAGTACAAATCTAAAGTAATATTAAACATGCGCAAATAATTCTGTCTGTAATGTTTTCACGCCTATAAAGTTACACCAATTTTGATACATTTTGGTATAGAGGTAGATGGCACCTAGGAGAAAGACATAGGCTACTTTTTGTCATAAAATTAAACGGGGTAAAATAGGGGATGAAAGTTTGTAAGGAAAAATAATTTCTCAAGCAAGAATTTCAATATGAATTTATGCCTTTTGTAAGAAATAAACAAACAAAAAAATAGTATATTATGTACAATAGCCTAGTACTTGTTCTATACAGGCGAAGTCACGGGCACCAACTAGTTTGAAATAAGTTTCATTATTTCCTTATCGTTCATATAGAAGATAAAGTTTGATTTTCAGAGAATTTTTTGACGTCATGATGTCGTCATGCAACTAATGTTTCATTGAATGAAGTTATACCAGCAAGAGCCATTTCTAATATTCACCAGTTAGTCATTTGTCATTTGGCGCCGTCGGCCCGTTGCTACTTCCTGTAATTTAAAAAAAAGTTTGCCAAGAACGACTTTAAAACTATACATTTTAGGGTTCCGTACATAAAAATTCGTAATCTTTACGCGGAGTAAATATAAGATAGTGATAAAAAATGACTAATTTGACATATACAAAGGAATTACACAATGCGAATTGAGATTGTAGACGAAGTATACTGATTTTTTAACTGTGACCAAAGGCATGTAAAGGGCCCGGAACGTTGGTTTGTTTGCAAAAACAAATATACGCGATTTAAATCCAGAAAAACAGTTTCATTTCGTATACTGATTTTTATTAGTAAAATTTAAAAAAAGTGTTCAATAATGTGTGATATTTAAATTTATGTGGAGGCTTGAACAAATAATGTGTTTACGAATATAAAGCACAATTCTTTGTTTAAAATTATTCTTAATGTCAGTTTTTAAATCGTTCAAATTTGCTGTTTAAAAATGTTTAGCTGAGCAGCCAGGTAGGCTGAGTGATGAAAAACTTTCAGGTTTCTCACAGGTGGCGTTACGGCGCAAAAGTCGGTAAAATCTACAAACAAAGATCTGCAAAAAGCACTTAGAGAAAGCCGTAAGGTTTGCTGATTCGTTCCGTGACTCAGTTGGGAGAGCGTCAGGTCGCTCTGGTTCGAGTTCGGCTGAATTTTTCGGAATTTTTCTTTGTATTAATAATGTTTAGTTTCAGTTAAGTTTTTATAGCAGGATTTGAAATTGTATTCTCTCCAAAGACATAAAATAGACATTGTCGCCCATATAACAACAAACATATAACTAATTATATTCGTTAAGAATAACCTATTAGACACCAATTGCATTGCAATTGCATGGTCTGTAACTAGGGAATTCGCAGTACAATGAGTCGCAGAGGAACGATATTAACTTCATTGACATTAACACGAAGACCAGAATCAATTGAGATAACTTCGGTTTTGCAATTGGTTCTACCGGAAATCGACGCAAGGTTCTCATCAAACTCTCTTATTGCAAACACACAGAGATCATCACAAAATTAATCTAATTTCTTTTAAACACTTTGATCGGTCGATAAATCGTGATAGCCACGAAAAGCGACAACATAACGTATTTTTTATTAGAGATAAGAAACTGACGGCTAATGTTACTTTGAAAAATAATATTGCCACGTTTAATGAATAGTTTAATAGTTTGTTTCCGTTCTGAATGAAACCACTGAAAAAAAAATCAGTAAAAAAAAGCACCTAAATATTTTTGACATCCAATCTGCTAAACAACACTTCACTTACATTTACATTACGTAGATACATTAAAGGCTGCCATATATAGACGATTCCGCGTGGCGATCAATTGTAACGATAATCGTATCGGTCTGTCGCTACTCCTGTGGCGTTCAAGTTAATCGCTAACGAAAAATATTATTTTTTTATGATATCAAGTGAGGAACAAGTCATACGCCTGGTGATAAGCGACATGCCTGTCTGTAACAGTTGCAGTGTAACTAAGAGCTTTAAATCACAAATATCTGAGGGGAACTGCCACTGCGCCCGTTACCCTGTTACATAATTTGGTAGTCGCAAAATCGAAACGCATAGTAATGCTCACTACTTGGCGGTAGAAATAGGTAAGGTAGCAGTACTTCCCTGGACGGACTCTTGCACAAGGAGTTCTACTACTAAACATACACTATCGATTCGTCGTTTCGATAAGTCCGAAACGACGCATCGTGAAGGCAAATCGTCTCGTATGTGGGGGCTTTAAAACTGCTCTATTTCTATTTTATCAAAACGTAACAACACACTAAACGTATTATTATCTCTAATTAAAATTCCAATCGTATTTTGATCCCTGTTTTCAGAAAAAGAAATCATAATTACGTCTATTAAGCAACTTTATCAGAAGCGACTTTAGTAAACTGCCATTTAAGCATTTCTTTTAAAAAACAATTCACAACAGAACACTAAAAATAATGAGACATTTCTAAGAACCCAAATTGTCAAGTAGCGACTAGTTTTAAATATTATCCACATTAATTTTCACTCTAATCACTTTTTATCTCAACTTTACGACATTGCAACATAAGGTTGAAAATAATAGAAACGTGTGGCACTTAAGCAGCAAATTACTATTTGTGAAAACCACGTGTCGCGTTATCGGTGTAAAATCCGATTGCGTTGACATCGTACGATATAAAAGTTTTGACTTAAATAGCCTTTGTGGACATGACAGTTGTAACTCATTGGCAGAACCGTTATTTGGCTCCCGCAGGTTGTCTCGATCACGATAGATCTATTATATATATCGGTATTATTTGGACCTTTTCAAGGCGAGAGTTAATAGGTAGTATTTAAGAGTGCGTGTGCGTGTTTAATCTTATAAAAAAAAAGTCTAAAATATAAATATTTAAAATAGATTCGAACGATTGACTTCTCAATTGAGAATTAACCATTTCCCCATTTGACGACGACAGTTCTCGAAGTGTATACGTTTTAAATCCTGATTTAATATTGTCTGTAAAATTATAAGCATCAATGCGCAAACGCTTATCCCAACCCTTGTCTGATAAAATTCAGAAGGAAGTGCTATGTCAGCATGTCTGTCAAACGAATTAGTATTTATTTAGACAAAGTAAGCATTGATTAACAAAGTACCGCATATGCACGTTACGTACGAAGTCCCGGATTCGATATTTGTAAGAATGAATCAAGAAATCACCAATTTTACCTATCTATCAACTTATTTTGTAACTCTATAGCACAATTTGTATTTCGAAATGGGCACATTATTTACATGAAAACTTCATTTCTCGCAGTCGAAAAATCGTGTAGTGTGTAACGCGGCTTCTTAATCGAGAGTACAGTGGTATCCAGCAGTTTTCATCTTGACCTGTCTCCGCATTTCAAACTTCACAGAAACTAGTTTTTTTACATCGTTTTATTGGTAGACATTAAAAGCAAAGTCATACCTAATTATATTTGCTTACATTTATGGAAGACAACATTTATAAATATAAATATATTACGCCTAGGGCATATCTTTATGGCAAAATGATTATTTTTTTTATGATATCAAGTGCCGGTACGAGCAAGTCGTGTGTGTGGTGGTAAACGACACGCCTATCTATAATAGTTGCAGCGCTACTCAGAGCTTTAAAACCAAAGATTTTTAGGGGCACTGCCACTGCGCCCGTCACCCAGAGACATAAGTTGATAAGTCGCATGTGCATGCAATTACACCATAGATGACACACACACTCAACATAACACACACACTCAACATAGAGTAATTTCACACAAAAAATAATTGAAAATCAATTGAATAAAAAATTAAATACAGTGAATAGCGACATCTCTAGCTGGTAGCTGTAAAGATATCTAAGTGGGTGACGAAATACTTTCATAGATTTCTCGTAGATGGCG